ACCCTGGGGGTTCCTGTGACCACAGACTTCTGTGAACACAGACCAGAGTTAGTGTCTGTGTACCTCATGAATTCTTGACACTTCTGGTTCAGTTATACTGAATTACCAGAATTTTTCAGCAAGATGGTCACATACACCTCTGAGTATATATTCATAGGAAAAAAAAAAAAAAGATATAAATTTGTTATTTTCTGGGCCTGAATAGGATAACGGTTTATTTGGAACAAACAACCAGGAACAACCTTAGTCATGTGTTGGCTACGATTCTCTTCTTGGAGCAAGATAAAAGAAATTATGAAAGGAAATAACAAGAGAATGGAATATAAACACAATAATCTGATGAACAAAATAGATTCAGTGACATAGAAGCAAGGAACAGACTGAGAAATCTCAGAGGGAAGGTGGGGGTGGGGTGGGGAGAGATTAACCAAAGAATTTATATGCATATATGCATAACCCATGGACACAGACAATAGTGTAGTGAAGGCCTGGGGAGGGGAGTAGGTGCAGGGTGGAAGGGGTCAATAGGGATAAAAGGGGACATCTGTAATATTTTGAACAGTAAAAAAGAGAGAGAGAAAGAATTAGGCCTCTAAGGCAGACTTAGTGTTAGGCCCTGTAAGATTATTTTCACAAAGTTTATTCATTCAATCAGCAAACTTTATGGACTGGCCACTATTAACCAGGCACAGAAACATTCCTGGAGATTCAAAGATGAGGAAGATATAGCCCTGCCTTTAGATAAGCTCAAAGTCTAATGGGGAGATAGGTATGCAAACAATTTATCACAGTGTACACAGTGATAAGTACAACCATAAAACTGAGTACAAGGTGCAGCTGGAGGCACAAAACAGGGGGAGATAAATGGCAGTGGGGGTGGGGAGATGGGTCCAGGGAAATTTTTACAGAGGAAGAGTCATTTGAACAGAAAATCCATATTGGGTAGTGAGAATCTGAAAACTTGGCTTCTGTCCTTCCTGTGCTGCTTGTTAATTATAGGACAAGCCACCTCATCTCTTTCTCTGAAAGATAAAGGTGCACAAGATGTTCCTTAAAATCTGTCTCAGCCCTAAATGTTGCAATTCTGGTAAACAAGTTATCTTAGTGGGCTATTTCAGAACAATGGGGGATTGTTGAGCATATTACTCCCTTCATCTTTTGGAGGTCACAATTTGAAAGCTTTCTTGAGACAGGCAAGAAAATTATTCAGACCTTCTCCCTGCTTCTTACGTATTCAATCTTGGTTTCTGGTTTGTTCCAAAGTCATTGCCCTGTATATGTATATCAGTGCTGACTGCCGTGGAAGGTGTGTGTACTTGGCTGGACCTCTCCATGGACTCTACGTTCAGCCTCATTAATTTTGGCTTCAATATATTCCGGAAATGGTTTACTATAGATCTGAAAAAAATTTCTTGTCTGCATTCCAAATTTAAATTAAAACTTGTATGCAAGATTTTAAAAATGCTCTTTGTGCATATATATTGACATTCATAGATGGTATAATATTGGAGGAGAAAATAATACAAATTATATTTGTATAAAGACAAAACTCTAAAAGGAAAAAAGTGGAGAATTTGCCATTAGTATGCTGATATCTGGCTAATACTCAGTTTATGTTGATGTGCCTCACTTTTAGCTCTTTGAGATCCTTCCTAGCCTTTAATAGGTCTGAGATGGTTGTAGGAATCCAGGAACCTAGTACGTATGATTTGTAATTTTAAAATTGCTCTTACTTCCTCTGAGAGGCCATGTCTATGCATATATGTAGGTTTCAGTGGGGCAATATAAAATCAATAGGATTTTTTCTTTTAATAGATGATCATTTAAATGGAATAACATTTTTGTTCACAGAACTAATCATCTGTTCGTTGCCTTTATTTAACATTTAACTTAATTCTTGGTGGCCTAGCAGAGCAGTGAGATATCTTTGAAAATATAATCCAGCTATATTTGAGAGGATTTTCCTCCATAATTCCAAATGTATTTTAAGCAGCAAGTAATTTTGCAAACAACTGTTTCTGTTAAGATACAGTGATTGACAAAGTGTAATTTTCAGCTTCATGCTGTCCTTTTCTTATTCTGATAGATAGTATAACTTTCTGTCATGAACATAAAAATAGTACATTTCTCAGAGTTTTTCTACCACCAAGTATATGGAAAGCCTTGTATCTGACAGAATCTCCTAGGTCCCAAGACTTAGGTGGGGTTTGAAACTCTGCAAGGCTACCTTTCTCTTTTAGTCAAAGGTTTTGCACTCATTTGTGAAAAGCTTAAAGGTAGGAAAAAGGAAATAGATTGAAGTTTGGAATTTTTATAAATGCTCTGCAACTTTTTTTGTTTGTCATCAACTTTTTCATGCAGTTGTATTTTAGAAACTTCACTGACCATTTTCTCCCCCCTGCTGCCTTTTGGATGCATATTCAAAAAGAGTAGATAAGAGAGGGCTGCTGGAAGATTCATAGGTGTAGTAGTGCTTGTTTCAGTAGAGAATCACTCTGGGTAGAGAATGCAGATATTTTTGTCTTTTATAAACTTTTTTTAATATAAGCAACAGTCTCTGTTAAGGTACTATTGCTATACATCTGCATTGTTATAGAATTAAATTATGAATTCTGTCATTCATAAGAGACTACTTTATAAATCAAGTAAAATCTCATAAATAAGATGAATATGTTTGTTTTTTAAATCTCATGCTGCCTCATATTCCAGTTTAGTTTTAAAGCCCAACTTGATGTAATTTTTAAAGAGTAAGTCTCTCTTTTTCCCTATTTTTATATACTGTTTTGCTTTGTAAAAAAAAAAAAAGTCATTAATTTCCCAGGATAAAAGCTTAAGAAAACTTATTATATGTAAAGGACAATTATATAAAAACACAAAGGCGGGTAGTAACTCTTTGTAGATTGGCAGGACATGTGCCAAATACCCCGTTTTCTCCCTCTTTTCCTTCCTCTCCCCTCTCTGATTGCATTCAATATAAATAATGTTAAAACTCTAAATTGTAACAAATGTCAAAATCCTAATGTATTTCTCCCCCCCCCCGTCCCCCTTTTCAAATGATCTATTGTTTGGAATTTCTAAATATAAGACAGTCCTCATTATACAGGTTTTTTGGAAAGGAGTAATAAATTGTGTTCTCTATAAATGCCTATGGTTGTGTTTGCCACTTGTCTGGGAGAGCTATGGTGCCTAATTTCTTTTTTCATTGCTGCTCTGTAACTGTCCTAAAGTATGGGGATTTGAGCAAGGGTCCTAAATGTAAGTATGCAGGAAAAGAGAAACTAGTCTGAGGGGAAGAAAGGTCAGGAGTAAGTTCTTTAGACCTGGTTAGGGGCAAGATTTCCAAATGCTGCTGCAATTAGAGATAAAAAGGACTGAAATTCAGAAGAAGAATCAGAGAGATAGAGATATAAGGTCTGAGCAATTACTGTGACAGATGAAAGTTTGCACGAATTTCATTTCTCAAGGGAAAAGAGATTAGAGAGGAGAGCAAAGGATCTAGTACCAAACTTTGGGGAAATCTTTAATGTTAGGGTGTGAGAGAAAGAAGAGAAATGGTAAAGTAGAAACTAATATGCTTAGCTGTGGAAGCCACTAAGTGTCACTGCTTCCCAGGGCTGTTAATTTTGAGTCATATAACCTCAATTATGCTGGGTTGAGACTGGAGAATCTAGGGACTAAAATCCTTGAGACTATCTTTGCCTTGGTGCTAGTTGTGGTAAGTGTAAAAAGAAGCTCATGTTATCTGTTGGGAGGTGTATTAATGGGGGAAATCTTCATTATTGTGATTTTAAATTTTTCGTACAGCGGTTATATGTGCTGAAATTATGGGCTATCCTTAGGCTACTTTTATGAATTTGGGAAGATTGGGTTAATAGCATTCTCAACTCTTACTACTAATAAATTATTCCTTTTCCAGGATTTGCAGAGAAATGTAAAGGTACATTGAAACTAAGTTATTATTTCATTTTATAAATCATTTAATTTGATTAAAAATAAATTGAGCAATGGGAGAAACAAAAGGACAAACCTGACAGAAAACAATAGTTGAACCTTTCATATCTCAAGCTATGCTTTAAGTTGTACTCAGCTTCTTGCCAGGGAAAGTAAAATAATGGAGCGCCTCATCCCACTGATCTAATATTTAAAAGAGCAGTTGCAGTGCATCAGGTTTTGCATTACATGTAGGTCTATAAAGTCTTGAAGGAAAAATCTTGATTCTCAGTGAAATTATGGGGATGATTTAGTAACAAGATAACTAAATATGGAGATGTGATTGTGTAAACCATTTAGATATCATAAATAAGGAAAATTCACAGCATCAGTTCAAAACACTTGAACTAACTAATTTCTCCTGGTTCGAAACAAAAAGTTGCCTTTTTTTCTTCATCCATCTCTAGCACCTGTTGGGGGGGAGGTTGCTCGCAGTTTTTCTTGTCTTAAATGAGTTATGGTGAACCTAGTAATCTAAATGAGAGAACGATTAGCTGCTTTATATAATGCTCATGAGTTAAACACAACAACAGTTGACATTTGCCGATGCGATAAATATCTGTCCAGTTTTTCTATAGTAAGCATCCTATTTAGTAGCCACGTCAACATTTAGGCAACACCAAAGATGCTTGATTCCACAGGACTGACATATTATTCTGTTTGGAAGTGTTTAAACCATCAATAAAGCATCCAAATAGCTGTGGCTGCCAGATATAGAGATTTATTCTATGGTTACAAGATTGTCAGTGGATTTCAGGATTTTTCTCACATTGTATGGGTTTAGGAAAAAGAACTTGAGACCCCTAAATTTCCAGAATAATGAACCTAAAATTTAGAAAATATATTTCTGTGTATATCGTATTTTTATACTTTTTTCTCCACCCCCAATTGAGGGAAAATTTAACATTTTCCCTTTAATTTTCTCTATTGTTTGATACACTTTTATTATTCTTAGCCATATCAGATTTTTAGAAATATTAATGAAAATTAGTCTAATTCTTCATTTTTAGGGTCGGTGTGCCAGAGAGAACTGCAAGTACCTTCACCCTCCTCCACACTTAAAGACACAGCTGGAGATTAATGGACGGAACAATCTGATTCAACAAAAGACTGCCGCAGCCATGTTTGCTCAGCAGATGCAGTTTATGCTCCAAAATGCTCAAATGTCATCTCTTGTAAGTCAGAATTGTCTTCGAAAAATTGTGTATGTGTGCCTTTAGGGGAAAAAAAGAATATATGTCTACACTGGAAAAACCTTGCAGGGCCTTTGGGAAGTTAGTTATGGAAGGATTTAGGACACAAGCTAATGTATTAATGGACAACACAAAGCTGTCCTTCATAGGAAGGGAGCAATCAGGTGTGTTCGATTTGAAATCTGGGCTGTATTTAGGCATGAATTCAGTTTATAGAAGAATATTAATAAAGGAGCAGGGTCATTTTAAGATGAGGAAGAGGTCTGATTATTATTACATGATGTAAATCTGCAAATTCTAGGACATTAATTCCAATAGTTTTTTATGGTAATTTTATTGTTGCTTTTTAATAGACTTTTTATTTTGAAATAATTTTAGATTTAAAGAAAAGTTGCAAAGATAGTACAAAGGGTTCCCATATTATCTCTTACCCAGTTTCCCCCACTGTTAATATATTTCCATGGTATTTTTGGTGAAACTAGGAAACTGACATTTATACATTACTATTAACTAAATTCCAGATTTTATTCAGACCTCATCATTAGTGTACTCTTTCCGTTCCAGTGCCCAATCCAGGGTACCTCAGTGCATTTATTTGAATCTCTCTCCCCTCTCCTCTGGTCTGTGACTGTTTCTCAGCTTTTCTCTGTTTCCCACGACCTTGACAGTCTTGAGTAATACTGGTCAGATATTTGATGGTGGTTTTAATTTAACCTAGTCACCGAGTTTCTCTTTGCAGAAATTAATAAGATTATGGTGTCATTCTAGACAAGTATCTTACTATTTTTGTGGATCAGTGAGCTTAGATAGGTCCTTAAAAAAGCAATTCTTTTCCTATTGAGAATTAATCATCTTTTGCTACCTTAAAATATAAAGTTTCAGTTTGGTCTTTCAGGGGGAATTGAAAACTGCCTTTTCTACTGAATTTACCAGGTCTCAAATTTAGTTCAGTGGTGTTTCATTCTAATTCCAACTGGTCTACTTGCTTTAAACCATTAACAAGATGCTAATTTGAAAGAGTTATGTTACCTTTATTTGTTATCTGTTTCATCAGTGAATAAGTAATAAACACACTGAAAGCTGAAAGATGTTTGTAGTATTTAGATATGATGAAAATATGGATGCCAAGAGTGGATTGACTATCCCATTATAAAGTTGATTCTCAGAATTCAAGGAGATATGTGTAGATAGGGCACCCCTTAACTAGTCCAAATTGATAAGCAGTACATAAAACAAGTGGTGGGGGTACTGATGAGTCACTAAAATTTTGCACTGTTTCTTATTTCAAGAACATCTAGACAAATTTAAGTAAAATAAATAGATTTCATGTTCTATAGTATTAGTTTGCAAAAAATATTTGCCTTGGAATTCAGTGTTGATTAATTACATTATAAATTAGTTCCCAGAAGCTCACCAGTGAGCTCCTCAGAGCTCCTCTTTGGCCTTCAGGATTACTTTACATGGTTGAACTCCTTCAAACTATTTCCTGGGCTTTCACACACTGAAATATTTACATTTCTTCCTACTTCTAAAGGGGTAGGAAAGAGAAAGTCCACTAGATGCTGAGACTGGATAAACAAAGCCACAGAAAATTGAATGTGCTTGGTGAGTCCAGAAAATGTGAGTAGATGGGGAATAAATCAAGGGAGCTTTCTACCCATCTGTACTACTCTCAGCATCTTGTGGGATGTCCCAATTTCAGACTGAAGAAAGGATAGGAGCCAGACTTTATCACACACTTGAACCCAGTCTTTCCTAAAGAGTGAGAGTGTATATCTTTTCACAAGTCAAGGGACAGCATCAGGGCAGCAATCGAATGCCCTGTTTCAAGGAATCAGAGTAAGGTCTGGGGTAAAGCAGTGGTAAAGACAGAAGGCTGACTATTCATTTTCTATTTAGACTCCAGTAGAGTCTCTCCATTCCTAGTCTCAATTCTTTATGCATTATCGATCATGCTGGCTCACACTGGGGAACAGGGAGTAGTTTTAGAGCCTAATAAGAGATACATAGAATTTTCTGGCCTCTTGTTCCTTCTAATTTGATTCTTCATGCTTTCTATAATAGAATACATTTCCCTTATTTCTCAGTGAAGGTAATTTTAGATTCCAGGCTGTAGAACATGACTTACATGACTCACAGGAGTACAATTTATTTTATAGCATATCACAAGATACAAGTCATTACTTAGAAGACCCCAGGGAACAATTGGAAATTGCTTTTCTAGCTCATAGTTATTTAAAAATAGCTGTTGTGATGTGATAAACTGATAAAACATTAAATTTTGCAATTATTATGTGTAAAAAAATTAACCCCACAATGGTTAATATGATCCTCTTTTGAGGTCTAGAAAGCTGCTTTGAAAGCATGTTGTAATTGAGCTAGTAACAATTTTAAATGACATTTACCAGTCTGATTAGAAAGAAACGTTCTTTGTTATGGATCTTGATATTACTATAAAAGTAACATGTATTTTACTTAATTTATCTCGTACCTACTCTCCCCAAATAATCCTCTCTCCCTTTTAACACTCTCCATAATGTGATCGTTTTCTTTAAAATAGTCAAGCTTTTGTTTAAATTTCCAGCCCTGATGTTTGTATGGTTGCATATTAAGACCCATTTGATATCGCTGGCTTGAACTTCAGGTCTTTCCACAAAACATACTTTGATCTGTTTCTAGGATACCAGAAGAGCACATCTGTTTTTGGAAAACTGGAGTATGGTTTGCTTATTATAAGCCCTCAGATAAGGAGAATGTCAGCCTAAATGGTATGGTAGCTAGAGAACAGATTCTGTTCAGTGTGACTGAACAATGACTAAAAGCCACACCTAGTCAGTTTGGGTGGAATGCTTGCTGTACCAGGCAAGTTTGTTCACTGTGTTTAACAGGCTTGAATTGACATTTACTAGTATAAAATTCCACCTCTGAAAGCTTTTGTTAGCCCTATTGAAGAAGTGTAGTAAATGAGAGAAATGGTGTGACTCCCTGATATTTTTCAATGTTGATTAAGAGAGAATTTTTGATGTTCTCAGCAAAAAACTATAAGTTTACTAACTCCCCGTGGCATCATTAGGGAGGCCAACATGAGCACTGTACAAGAATCTTAGGCAAAGTAGACATACTGGATTACTCTCAAACAAAGCTAATGGTTTAAAATTTTAGGAATTTTCATTACAGGGAGGAAGGAGCCTCACTGCTGGATGCAGTGTATGTATGTATAAAGTGGACATGGTGTTATAAGGCTATTAAATATTTTTTATTTAGACATTTTGCATAATCCAGACCTGTCCATATCTAGTAAATTTCTTTAGTTTCTCTCTCTGAATGTGTTGACTCACATTGAGGCAGTTCTTTACACACAGATAAACTTGACTCAGTTGAGTGTATTTACCTGATGATTTATATAGAGATTATTGGCTTGGCACATTTGGCTTAGCCATTGGGGTGTACCAAATCCTCTGGCCTGCTTTATGCTTTTCATGGCTTGCATTCCTGTGGCCAGGTTATGGTGTCCCAAACCACGCAGACTGTAAGCATGGGTTTCACTCCAAGATTTTCGTTTATCACAGATAGAATTATCTGACTTCTGTCTGGATCCTCCCCACCTTTTTAACATAATTTTTATAGTTCTATTTACCAAATACATTTCTCATAAACAAGATTATATGTTTATCTGACATTAATATAGTAAAAAATGAAGGTTATGTGACACTTCAGAACCCAAAGGGGAAAAATAGGAAGTTCCAGTAGAAAGGAAGAAGGGAGATATACTAATTAATAAATAATATCATTATTTTCAGACTCCAGTGTTTTTAATGTTTTTCTTCTTTTTTTTTAAATAGGAGCTATAAGGTAGTTTTAAGTGACTTGATGTAAAATTGCAAAATATTTATTTACTTTTTCATTTTTGAAAAAGTTTAATAGTTAAATGATTTTAGTAGTTAATGACAAAAGGATAATATCTTTCCCTCACCAAGGTACATTATACATTGTGCATATTCACATCAGAGTTACATTTTTTCTAGTTCACATAAACTAATTTTATTGACTGAATTATTTATGCTATATCTCTAATTGTCATGGCTCTTTTATTAAAAGTTATGAAAAAGGTGGGTAAAGTATTTTGTAGATTTCAAGGAAAAGGAAACTATGTCCATATTCCAGATTACTAGTCTTGTGGTCAGTACAGAAATTTAAGTATATTTTAATGGTGGTTCTTCAGTGGGTTTCTCAGTTTACCTACTTGCAAAATGACAGATGGTGCTTAGCTGTTTCATATCGGTGTGGTGACATTAAATGTTTTGTAAAGTGATTTTTGCAAAATGTTCAAGTCAGTAGATAACATGCATTATGCAATTATAAGGCTAATATGCTGTTAATATAATTATGACTGACTGTCATTATCATGTGAAGTTCTATATTGACTGAAGTTGACCAAGTCACATCACAAGAGTGAGTGGAGTGAAACCATACTATGAGCCCACATTTCATCTGGATTTCACTACGTTCTCTAAAATATTAGAGAAGATTTTACTATAGCTATAGCAACTAAAGCCTAACATTATTTATTTGTTCAACAAATTATTTCCAGGGGTAGGTTAGTGAAGGCTCAGGGCCCCTCATTTGCATGATCTCCTTCCAAGGCCCTTGGAAAAGCCCAAACAATATGTTTACAATGGGTTTGTAAAATTTGCAAAATATATTTCTGTATAAAGCTCCCCTCCCCAACTCTACTGAAAAACGACAGGCCCTACAGATCCTGGATTCACTCCTGATTGCAATTACTGATCTAAAATAGAGTAGTCATTCAGGTTCTTTCAAAAGGCTGTGTATGTTACACTGCTTAACGCTCCTTTTGTAGTAAAACAAAATAAATCACACCAGCAGTAGGTTTGCTGTCTTGTGTCAAGTCTGTTAATACACAATGCGAAATCTTTTTTTTTCAAAAGTTAAACAAAAATGGTACACTTTTGCAGACAGAGGGCATTTGTACATGATATCTTTTACAGAGCCCAGTTTCTTTGATAGTGATAAATCTCAACATTCTCCCTCTCTCCTCCCTCATATTTTCCCATGGGATATATTAAACGTAATCTCTTCTCATTACATTTTGTGTCCTTATCCTCTGGGGCTGGTTAGCTCAGTTGGTGCTAATGAAACCACGTGGGCCTGCTCTTGGTCACAGTCTAAGCTACAGCCAGCTACCTCAAAATTGCTTGCTGTTGATCAGCAGTGAGATGAAAGCAGAAAAGTTGGGAAAGCTCTGTGAAAAGCCTTTTCCTTGATGGAAGATAAACAAAACAAAAGTAACAATAAACAAAATCAATGCTTGACAATCTTACCTATAAAGGATGATCTTTTTCTTATCAAAGCCATCCCCTTGCTCAGATCTCCATCAGGAGACCTAGTTTAAAACCCACGGTTGCTCCTGCACAAGATAATAATCTTCACTCCAATGTAAAAATGCATACATACATATGTGTGCCATCTACTCTGTGCCAAACATTTAAAGGGTAAGAGGTGGATAGAAAGATGAATTAGAAACAGTCTCTAACATCTAGGAAAGTATAACAATAGTAAGATGGTGAATTAATGTTTTTGTGACCCCCCTTAATTTCTGACATATACCTGATCTTCTGTATTTTTATAGCTTTGGGCTTTTCTTTTTTCCTCCATAGAGTTATCTTGCTATTAATGATGTGAGGTTTTGCTTTGATTTGTGTTATTTTGGTGGTTGTGATGGCTGTTTGTTGAACCCCTGATCATTATAACACTTAGAGTCCGTTTATCCTGGACTTGCACTGAGATGTTTAGAGTCTCCCCCCTCCCTGTGGGGTGTTGGGGTTTTTTCTTTTCTAAGATCTTGGCATTCCTTCCTCTTCTCAAAAAATCTACATTTTGTTTCATACCTTTTGTTTAAATTGAGTAACCATTTGATTTTTAAAAAAATACTTTTCCTTCCCTAGTGAGATGATAAAGTTAATTGAATTGTCATTATTACATTGTGGTTCACCAACAAATAATTTTTAGGTCAGTTCTTGTTCACTTCTCGGGAACAAAGTCAAAACTGCCTTGTCCAGAAGATCCTTACCTCTAGTCATCATCTGGTGTTATGCTGATGTGTGTGTAGATTCTCCGTTATAACTCCTGGCCTACTTTACAGCTTCTTCTCCACCAAATATAGGCAGATCCAAACCAGGACTTGCCCTGTTTTGCATGCTATACTTTACACCTTTTATCCCTGCAATAATCTATTGATCCTTTACCTACCTGCCTACCTTGAATGCTTTCTCTTACTTGGAGACTTCTGTGACTAATAAGGTCAGAAAATCCAGGTCTAGGTGAGAACAACTATCTACTTTTGACCCTTGAACTTATTTTTTTCTTAGCTTTCTCTGGAGCCACAGTGACTTATTCATTAACAAGCATGATTAGTACATAAACACCACTATCTGCTTTGTATCTGTTTATAAAGTTAACTCTCAATTACCGTGGGACCAATTAACCAGTAGAGGTTATGTGGGCTTCCCACTGTGCCTTTTGGCTACTTCAGTCCTTGCAGAAAATCACACAAAGAGTGTGCAAATGACCAAGTCAAAACTGTGTAACCAAGATCATTCATTTGCGCTCCATATGAATAGTTACTAAAGTCTGATAGAAACTAAAATTATACATTTCAATGTGCTTTGGGATAGTCTAAGGATAGGAAAGAAATATGCATGGTGATGGTGAAATGGGTTTCCTTTTATACTGTATAAATGCTTGTAAGTGAGCAATAAAATTAAGGTATTATGTCTGCTAGTAAAAGTTAAGAGGACTATTTTTCTGGTATTAAAATTGAGTCTACAAATTGTTACCAAATGTTTACCATCCTATAAAAGAAAATGTTTAGTCATCCACCTCTAGATAGGACCTCAGAGATGGAAGGCCCCAATTATCATATTACTTTCTTACCAGGATTAGCCAAAGTGACTTAAACTATTTTGCATTCATCCAATAATTGTAACTGACCTGGGTTATTATTGAAATAACTACAAGTAGATCTAGGCTGTTGGAGAGACACAAAGATTGGTTTAGCATAACATTTACTTTTTATTTCTTTATATTAGCTTGAGGAATAACCCATTTAAGTATTAACTCAGTGTTTCTAAAATGTATGTGTAAACTGGACATATCTATTTGAGGCATAATTTTCCCTTGAATTATATTGTTATTCAATGGTGCTTCAGAATCCTTTAAGACTAATATGTGGTGACTCCTAACATTTTACCTTTAGAGAATTACATCTGTCTTTGTCACTGAGCAGTTATTTTTCTATTAACAAGTAGTTAAGAACCTTAATTTTAGTGACTATTTAAAATAACATTTCAGTGAATACTTTAGTATTGGTTTCTAAAGCTAAACTTTTTCAACTTCTAGAATCTTGCCACAAGTATTAAATTCACATCAATAGATTTATACATAATTAGCACTTTAATCCAGAAATTGATGGAGTGCTTTATTTTCAGGAACCCTCTAGAACAAGGGTCAACAAACTTTCCTGTAAATAATTAAATAGTAAAGGTTTTAGGCTTTGTGGGACAATGGGCGAAGTTTAGGATATTATGTAGGTACTTCTATAACAAGAGCAAAAACAAATACCGACTACTATTTGTAATACAGATCTACTGATGAGCACAGTCAACTTTATGGACACTGAAATGTGAATTTCACATAATTTTGATGCATTATGAAATATTTTTTATCTTGTACTTTTTTCAACCATTTAAAAATGTAGAAATCATTCTTACCATTTGGTCGTACAAAAACAGGGCAGACGAGATTTGGCTCAAGCGGCTTTCAGAAGAACCTTAAATCTGCTTGCAAAGGTCATGTCTATAGAAGGAGACAAGGCAGATTGTCCATGTATATATCATTGGTGACATAGTTTTTAGATAAAAATGAAAGTGCTGAAGAAAACACATTTGGAACAGAATCCCATCAATGATGTGAAATTTGGTTAACTCATGATTGTTAAAATTATGTGGCTTATTTATCAGTTTACCAATAAATTTGATACTCAAAGATACTTGTTGGTTTAAAAGCAACTCCTATATGGAATTAGTATGAGACTCAAAATAAATCGAAGAAACAATAGCAATTTTTTAAATCCTCATCTGAGGATATTTTTTTCCCATTGTTTGTTAGAGAGAGTGGAAGGGAGGCAGGGGGAGAGAGAAAAACATCGATGTGAGAGAGACACATCAACTGGTTACCTCCTGCTCATGCCCGATAGGGGTTGGGGATCAAACCTGCAACCCAGGTATGTGCCCTTGACCAGGAGCAACCCTTTGATGCAAGGTCCGATGCTCTAAACATTAAGCCACATTGGCCAGGGCAGCAACAATGGCAAATTTTGATATGCTTAAGCTTTCTTAAAAAATGGCTCCTTGTGTATTATTAGGAATAAATGTTTACCTCTAACACTATTTTTCTTTCAAACATACAGGCTTCCTTCCCCATGACTCCATCACTTGCAACTAATCCTACCATGGCTTTCAATCCTTACTTACCCCATCCTGGGATGGGCCTGATTCCTGCCGAACTTATGCCAAATGCACCTGTTCTGTTTTCTGGAAACCCGCCTCTCACAATGCCAGGAGCTGCTGGTCCAAAACTGATTCGTACAGATAAACTGGAGGTATTTGTGTAGAAATATATAAATACCTATATGGTTGATATTAACCTTATGCATAAAACAACATCCTCAGAGCTCTATGTTTTGAATGTTTTAAATAAGTGCATTAAATGTTAAATATTTTACTACTGCAATTATACCCTTTTGTGAAGTGCATTGATTCAGTTGTACAGTAGGTCAAAGAATGTTTTAGTGTCCCTGGCCACAGACTGCATCTCTTTTGCTATGGCATAGGAAGTCTAGGGGAATTCTGCTTTTACCTAGGCCTCAGCTTCACAGACCAGAAGTATTAGAATAATCAAATTGAAAATAAGTAGACTAATCTATCTGTTAATGAAGAATGTAAATGAATCTCATAGTATCTAAACCTTTTTTCCCCATTTTTAAAGAATGTTGTATTAGATATTAAATATCCCCTGATGCCTAAGAAAATAAAATTTAAAAGAAATTTCAAGCAGCTGATTTATTGAAGTTCTTCAAACATCTCTTGTCATTTTTCATGTATTGAAATAAATAACTAGTCAGTGTCTTACAAAGTCAGCTTCATTGGCAGCTCCTTAAATGCCAGGCAGTGTATCATAATGGAATTTGATTGTACACATAATGTAATTCAATCATGGTCCACAAGTCTGCTCCTGGAAAAACACATTGCTGTGTGATAAAGACTCATCTCGGACCTTAACAAAATAACTCTCTTTTGCAAGCTTAGCTAATTACACTTTAGGCTGTATTAAATGGAAAATTAAAAATTAGTTTCCAACAGTCCTTTTAAGCACTTTTATTTCAATGTAAGAAAAACAGAGAACTTTCCTTTGGAGAGAATGAAATTTTTTTTCTAGGAATCAAAATGTTGTCTGTGTTTACATCTCATAGTGAATATGGCCTTACATTATCCTTCAGCTTTTTAGATTTTTTCCTAAATAAATGACAAAGTAATGTATACTATTGTTCTTACATTCACTGGCAAAATAAATACAATCTAATCACCTTCCAAGTCATCAATGTGATACTGTTTTTCTTCAAGGTTTGCCGAGAATTTCAGCGTGGAAATTGTACCCGTGGTGAGAACGATTGCCGCTATGCTCATCCTACTGATATTTCTATGATTGAGGCAAGTGATAATACTGTGACCATCTGCATGGATTATATCAAAGGCCGATGTACCCGGGAGAAATGCAAATACTTTCATCCTCCCGCACACTTGCAAGCCAAACTCAAGGCAGCTCATCACCAGATGAACCACTCAGCTGCCACCTCGATGGTAAGAACAGGCCAGGACTTGTGGACTATTTATTTGGGGGAAAATGATTAGTCTATTTCCCAATGTATGTCTTGTAACCATAATCTTGGATAGTCATGAGTGGACCTTAATATGAATAGCCAAGGTTATAAGCTGGAAAAGAGAGAATCCATTTATTCTACTTCATTTACTAAAATATTCTAAAGGTAATTATTTAAAAGCTTTGCTGATTATTTTAATCTACTGCGCTTTTTCTCCCATTTTTCAGAGAAAGAGAAACTTACATGATTTAAACAGTAAATTAGTTTTGAGTGTTTTTTTTTATAGCATAACTAACCTTAGTAAATGAAAAAGTCAGCAAGGTGCCTCTCTGCCTGTGAACCACCTTCATGGTCACTTTGCTAGTAATATCCATAATGCCTTTCAAAAGCAGAAGACTTGAAAGATGGGATAATAAGTAGGCTCTCATTTCCCAGAGGTTAAGGTTCCCTTTCTTTTCTGGAGGAATAGTTTTAAGGGAGCAGCCAGCTGAGGCTGGGGGAGACAATTCTACATGGTTGAGAGAAGAGGCAAAAAGAGTTGTCCTAGAAAGTCAGTTTTGGGGAAAAGGTAATTCTAGTTAACACTGAAAGGTAGGAGCTAGGGAAAATAATTATATACCACAGTACTGTATGATAGGTTGAGAAATAAGAATTGTGATTACTTGTTTGTCACAGCTCTCAATTATTTTGACAAGCTGCGTGCTATTTTCTTTTTGGCTTGGGCCCTTCTTTGTGTAATAGGGCATAACAATCCAATAAGGGACAAAACGTTGAGGAACCTCCTATTTCCTGACTGTGGAAAAAAATCATCTACAGGACTCTGAAGCCCCTGACAGAGACCTTGCCTTTACTCAAGGAAATACATTTATTTTCAGACCTCCCCTATTTGTTCACAGTATTTTCCTCATGAGTTGAAATCTACCTTGCTGTAACTGGAACTTACACTAATTTTATTACAGAAAATAAGTCAATCCCTATTCCACATGAGTGGTGACTGTGATGTCCTTTTCTCTAAACCAGATACCCCAAATTTCTCCCAACTTGTCTTGGTAGATTATGGCTTTAAGGGTGCAGCACCAATTTAGGACTTGCTCCACTTTCTCAATGCCCCTGTTCTCTCATGACTGAACCCATTACTTCATGAAAGATCTGAGCGCCAAAGTAGAACAAACTTATTTTCTCCTTTGATCTGGATAACATAAACTGTTAATGAATGTTAAAAAAAATAAAAAGACTTCACCATGTGTTTTTTATCTTAAATTCTTTTGATTGAGGGAATTTCAAGCTATGAAAATAGGAGGTATCCAGAATGTTCAATGTAGAATTTAAGCCTTCAATTTTTTGATTCTTTCAGTTGGTGGCATAGAGTTCAGAAACAGTGTGGACCTACCATAAAAGAGAAGGATACAGCTGGCCCCTCTAAGTAAAGGTTCTCAAATGTGTGGGGTGTATAAAGAACAGCTTGCTTGTGCCTTTATGGACCTGTCCCACACTCAGACATGGGGCCTTCATATGTATGTGGCCATTTCTGATAATTTGGGTATGCTCGGTAAAATACACATAAGTCAGCCCCAAATTTCTATGTAGAAATTTTCATATTATATCGGCCTTCAGTTGATTGGTACTTGTGAATGTAAATCTAATATGCCTTTCTGAGTAACGGATGAGAGCAGAGACTTAGCGGTTAAGTCAAATTGGCCCATAGGAATTTGTCTGAAATAAGATTAAACAAAGGTGGCTTTCCATGAAGAAGTTTAAGCTTTCTATATTTTTAAGGATTCAGAGTAGAAATGCTTTATAAAAGAGATATTTTACACTGTTCATGGTCATGTGCATAGCTCAGGTTGACTTCATTGGAAGAAGCTTGTATGCATTTAAAATAAGACTTGAAGTATTGATGTTTAGTTTCACAAAGAAAATACTGATTCATTTAGGCTTTCTTTATCCACAGGAGCAAGGAGGTCATGACATATCCCTTTTTAGTGTATGGAAGGCTAATTACTCAGCACAAGTGTCCTTGTCTCCTTGAGAATTTGAAGCACACCTAATTGTTGCCTGGTCATGTTTTTAAGTAGTCTGTAATTTGCTGAGAGAAAAAAAAAATGTAATTACAAACTTCTCCAATGAGTCTGATCCAGGGACAAGTTTGACTGAGTACTATAAGAGTATTGTAAGCATGGTGGGATTTTGAAAGAATTGTAGACATGAAAGGAGAATTTTAAAATGCTAATCCAGTTTAGAATTAAACCTTACAAGGACTGTACAAAGCAAATGGCACATACTGAAATGCACAGCAAGCTGCTATAAATGAGAATTGCATTGATTTTGCTGGCTATCTATGGTATCTGGGTGAGGTGGATGATGGAGTAATAACTCATTTACCTTCTTCTAACATTTTAGTTGGGAGATATACAGTTACAGAATTTGGATCTGAAGTTCTTGTATAAGTTAGATTTTGTTTTTTAGGGCTATAGTATCAGACTCCAAATACTGATAATGTTTTATCATCTATATACCATTTATCTCCTAAATCCATACCAGAATTTTAACTGGAAGAAATCTCTTTCCTGCTATAGCTGTTGCCTCCGCTAATCTCATTTTAATAGATTAGTAGATGTGCATCTCTGAGATGTTAATTTTAAATGCTTATTTGCTGTTAACAGCTTCCTGTCACGGCCTGTCCAAATGATGAGGTTCTTTTATATTTACCTCAATTAGTGAAGTTGAAAAGCTGCTTTTTTTCCTTGTATGCATTTTTCTGTTTTGAATCAAGTCTCCATTTAGTGAACTGCTTCATCTCTGCAGTTGGTTACCTTGCTCAATGGATATCCTTGCAGAGGGTTCCCAGACCATACCTTATCTAACTGCTGCTTGCTTGGTTTAAGTACATTCTTTACTTTCTTTAGTACTATATATTAATCTATCCCTCCCTCACAGGCCCTACAGCCTGGTGCATTTCAACTGATACCAAAGAGATCGGCACTTGAAAAGACCAATGGTGTCGCCCCGATCTTTAACCCCAGTGTTTTCCACTGCCAACAGGCTCTGACTAACCTGCAGCTCCCACAGCCGGCATTTATCCCTGCAGGTGAGAACAGGGTTCTGGACACTGCGACTGTAATGATGTTGTGAGTGTATATAATGCACACCAGCTTCTAAAGAATTTTTATGCCAGGACTGTCAACAGGTGTTTTGACTGGAAATAAAACATGGCAGTTATGTTTGATCTGCTGATATATATAAAAAAACTGTTTCTGTGATTCCTGAAAATAAATGATTTGAAATCCAACCAGGAAACACTGTCAACATTTTTATTTTTAGTATTTCTTAATTTTTGCTTCTTATCATTGATTCACTTGTTTCAGTCTCAAACTAATTTCTTGACTCTTAGGTATAACATTCAAAGACATTGGTTTGCCCTAAAAAATGTATTTCCCATTTTCAGCATTGCAAAAATATGTAGTCTATATATCTTTGATATACCGAAGATACTTATAATAAAACTACCCTTAAATTTATAGCATAGTATAATACTCAGGTAATATATAGTATAATATAACAGGTAGTTCTAGCCTCTAACTCTTAAACCAGTTAATGTAAAAATATAGTTTTTCTGACATATTTTCCTGACACTTTGCAGCATATTTTGTTATCCTCTACATTCATCTATATTTAATAGCTTAAGAATTTTGTACCAAATTGAATAAAAAATTTTTAAGCCAGAATTTTGTTCAAATGTGTATATATATATATATATATATATATGAAAATACTTTTCTTTAGTGGTTTAGTACTTTAAGAATTAGCATGTAGTCTCTCTTAGAAATAAATCTAAAGTACTAACTACCCAGAGTATAGATTTTCTTA